TTTTGCCTTGTTTTTCAACTTATCGAAGGCCTGTTGAACTGAAGTTGAAGTGTGTCATGTCTAACACATATACGCAGCGATATTGATTAAAGGCCTTCGATAAGTTGAAAAACAAGGCAAAAAAAGAGCAAGTTTTGCGTTTTACTGCGTAAAAAAGCCTGTTTTTCCTCTCTTTTTTGAAGTTTTTGACGTAGAAAACTCGCTCAGAACCTCTCATGGGCCCTTGAAAAGTGGTTTTCTGTAGGTTTCGCGACGTACTCTATCAATTGGGCAGATCAAAAAAAAGTTTTAGCGCAAATGGTTTTTCGACTTGAAAACCAAGATCTTCAAAAACAGGGGCTTTGAAGTCAAAATTGGCCCAAACCATTATGAAATTTGGAATAAGCATGCTCGATTACCCCCGATTAACTGAGTCTCAGCTCAAAAACGAGGAAACACTTGGTGGCCTTCCCTCGTCAGTGAAAGTTGTATAGAATTTCACAATATCTGAAAGCCGCTAGAGCATAATTTTCAGTATCTAAGTGATACATCTGTCGAAAACATCTTCGAGAGGAAAGCCCAGTATGTACTGTATCTTCTATAGCAATTTTAAAGATCTATGATTATTTTTGTCAGAAAAATTTAATCTCCCTGGGTTTGTTAAAACGAAATATGCGATGTGTGATCCATTTTATCAGTTTTCGATACTGAAGAGAGAATCTGTTGAGCCTTATTGTTGTTCTTGGTTATTATATTATGTTGTGAATGAACTGAGTTCTCCCAATCTGTAACAGGTGGTGCACTTAATACACTCCTGTATATTATTATTAGGACTTATAGTTCTGTGAGTGTAGAAAAATACAATAGAACAATTACACGTAAAAATTGATCTGAAGATCACGATTAGAGATAGCAGTATATCGTGAAACTGCTAGATTGTATCATTCACAATGAACGTCATGTTCTGTCAGTATTAGCGCGCTGTTTGCCGGTTAAGATGGTGTAAATTGATGCATTATTGTCCAGTTTTATAGATCTTAGTCCAACGATAAATTCGATAATAAAAAATGATATCATTTCACAATCCGTGGCGATTTTCTTCTAGATGATAATGCGTTCTTTATCTATCCTGTTGATATTTCTTTTCATTTTTCATGGTATGGTTTTGTACTTTTCTTGAGATTGAGTCGAAAGCTGTATTCTATTTTCAGGGATTAGGGGGGACTGGAAGTGGCCAAAATTAACCATCTCATCACCCGAGACACAACAAGAAGCTGTGTCTGATCTGATATCACGAGTTTTGGATGGTGCTCCAATTGCCAAAAACTTTCAGATTACTATAAATCCGAGTTTGACTGTAAATGGCAAAGATGTGTTTCAGGTTTGTTTATAAACATTTTTCACAACAAATAAGTGTAACGAATTCTTACTGATCTTTTAGTTAGAAAATGGAGAACAAGTAAACATAATCCATATTACTGCTTCCTCTGGAGTTGCAGCAGCCTGGGGTTTCAATTATTATTTAAAATATTTTGCAAACAGTTCATACTATTGGTCTGGGAAAAATATTCGACTTGTCTCAGAACTCAGTCCAGTACCAACCAAATTAACGATCACTGCTAATGATTAGTAAGCAATTCAGTTCTATTTATATTATTAGTTGAAAATATATGATCATTGTTTCCTAGTTTCCGATGGTATGGAAATGTTTGTACGTTCAGTTATTCATTCGTCTGGTGGAATTTTACAAGGTAATTGAAATTTACCCTAAGAGACTTTATTATGTATGCTTACCATGTTAGTTAGCTCATTAAACTTTTTCCTAATTAGATTCATGGAAACCTTTTTTTTCTAGATGGGAATATGAAATCGACTGGATGGCAATGAATGGTATCAACATAGCATATGCTACTACTCCACAAGAGTATGTGTGGAAGAAAGTAAGTTATATATTTTTGACACGTCGATATTTATGCGATGTACAGTTCAAGTTTATTATTCTTTTAGGTTTTCCTTCAGCTTGGATTTAATGAAACAGAATTAAACGATTATTTCACTGGTCCAGCCTATCTAGCTTGGTAATATTCATACTATGCTTTTTTGTGTGTTGTAAAATCGTCATAAGATAAAGAAACGGTTTATACTTCAATCTTCACAAATTGTTTGTCTCATGTGAGTTTGATCCGCTTTTAATTTTCATTCAGTTGATCAGAAGGCTTTTTTATCTACTAACGTGAAAAAATAAGCTCTAGTATTGAGTTTCTTATCTGTTTTTTGGTAGGAATCGAATGGGTAATTTGCAAAAGCATGGAGGTCCATTGTCTTCATACTGGTTGGAACAACAATTTATTTTATCAAAACAAATACTCAGTCGATTTGTTGATCTAGGCATCATACCAGTGTTACCAGCTTTCAGCGGATTTATGCCCAAAACTGCACCAGTGTATGTATAACGTCTTAAAATATAAAACAATTGCTTTAGACCTCTTTTTCTGGAATACTGATGAAAATTTGTAACGGCACCATCAGAACAAGTCTATTATGAAAGATTTCTGCTTTTGACAAAAGCATGTTTTTGCTGCTGTGTCGGATTCTGGTTATTCGTATTAGCACCAGAGATTATAACGCCTACTCGAGGTTTAACCCTTTAAGTCCCATAGTAGCAAAAAAGCTACACCTGTTTTATAATTATTTTTCACAAGGTAATTTATAAAAATTAGTATGTAATCTCTTGGAATGAAGTAATGGAGAATTAGCTAATTAATATGCACTTATGTGGCATTATCGGTAAAATAAACTGAGAGAAAACGATTTTATTAAATCAGATATATTTAACTTATCTAAGAATCATATAAGTCTTCATTTCCATTCTTTTCTTAAGGGTTCGAACTATCATTTACATCCCATTATATTTGCTGAAGTGTCGGCTTCAAAAGTATAACTCGCTTTTTTTCAAATTTTGTTTCGTTGCTGAGAAAATTCATTTTTTCTAAATCAGTTCTTCCCGTAGTTTTCAATTTTCTCGATCAGAACTCAACTTCTATGTAATAAAAATATCATATTTAGAATCGGGATCAAAAACTCAGTCGACTGATCTGTATTTCGAAATTTTAAGCTGATTTTCAGTTTTGGATGAAAATCTCGATGATTTTTCAACGTGAAAATTCGAAAAAAACTAAAGTACTTGAATAGGATAGGGATACACATGAGTCGATTCATTTTTTCATCCTGATTCCGAATATGATATTTTTATTGCATAAAAGTTGAGTTCTGATGGCGAAAATTGATAATTACGAGTTACATTCAAACCAGCAAAAAAAATTTGGGATTCAAAGGGTTAATAACTATGCGTTTTATTTTCTCACGACTCATATGCAGCACATAATACCTGATGTTAAAACGGCTAGCGCACATAGTAACAGACTAACTCTGAGGACTACTGCTTGATGAAGACAAGACCTACATATACGAACTTTACGTTCAATCTAAGATCTGCACGTTTATCATTTTTATCTACTAAAAGATTCATCTAACGGAGGAACCACCTCAGATGCCTAATCGCTTCTTTTCTCTAAACATTCGTAGTTAAAGATAATTTTTGATGCTGATTACGAATCTGTTAGCCATTTGTGCCCATATGACCTTTTGGAGTAGATCTGGTCTCTAGAGTTCCATCTCAAAATCCAAGAGAAAGAGATTTTGATTTGTA